ATAAATAGAACCCAATAGCACATCATGAGAATGCTGAGAGATGGTTGAGCGTGACTTCCATGCAAGTGCTGGTTGGTGAGAGCTATTATGCTCTTTTTCAGCTGACTCAATGTTCTTCTGGCTTCTGTACAGGAGAACCTTGAATCAGAGACTGACTGAACAATTTATGTGGTCCAGCCATTATGCCAGGTGCCTTGTTTTGTGAAGTTACCTTGGAATTCTTATCCCAATGCAGAGACAGAACATGCTGAATTACTCATTGCTTGGAACAGTGTCACGTGTGATGGGAAGAGTACAGATTTTTAAAAATATTGGCCATATTTGTGAGTGAGTAGATGTTTTTCTGGGGCACAGACAACTAACTAACCAAGAAGTAATCTAACCCAAGAATTCAGTCTCACAAAAATCATCCTTTAATAGAGCTTCTCAAAATTTTCCATAAAAGGACTTCCAGCCAAGATGGAGGCGTAGGTGGAAACACTGAGCCTCCTCACACAACCAAATTTAAAGACAACAAAGTTTTAGTAACAAAAACACAACCAAAACAGACAGAAAATTGAACTGTACAAAAGTCCGACAACAACGAACCATTCAGCCAGACTGGTAAGAGGGGTGGAGTCCATGGCTGGCACAGAGGGGTCGCACAGGAAAAAGTGGCCAGACCAACCCAGGTGCGCAGGCAGCGGTTGGCAGATCCCAGGTGTGGGGTGGCAATGGGCAGACCCAGTGAGGGTGCAAGGCAGCTGGCTGTCCGGGGTCACACATTCGAGTGCAGATAAACCAGGCAAAGAAGTGAGCAGTGAGACAGACTGTGCAACTCAGGGCCCTAGCACTGGGAAATAAAGCCTAAAAGCACCAATTGAAAAAACTGTCCGGGGTCGAAGTGCTGGGAGAGGTTCCCAGGGTCACAGAGAGTTTGTTGGAGAGACCCACAGGGTCCTGGAAGGTGTACAAGCCCACACACCCAGAAACCAGCCCCAGAAGGGCCCAGTTTGCTTGTGGGAAGCAGCAAAGGGGACCGAAATCTGAGATAGAGCAAAATAAACACCACTGCTCCTTTCTGACCCCGCCCCCACATACAACATCACAACCCAGTGACTGGGTCGCTCCGCCCTGGTGAACGCCTAAGGCTCCATCTCTTATATGTAACAGGTGCAAACAGACCAAAACATTATGGCTCAAGAAGAAGGACAGCTCAAAGCCCCAGAGCCAATACTTCTAAGCAACCAAGAGATAGCCAACCTATCAGATGCATAGTTCAAAACACTGGTGATCAGGATGCTCATAGAACTGGTTAATTTTAGTCACAAATTAGATGAACAAATGAAGGCTAAACTAAGTTAAATGAATGAAAATGCACAGGAAACCAACAGTGATGAGAAGGAAACTGAGACTCAAATCAAGGGAGTGGACCAGAAGGAAGAAAAAAAATGACCAAACAGAAAAGGTGAAGAAACAAGAATTCAAAAAAATGAGGAGAGGCTTAGGAACCTCCAGGACATCTTTAAACATTCCAATATCCAAATTATAGGGGTACCAGAAAAGGAAGAGGAAGAGTAACAAGTGGAAAATTTATTTGAACAAATAATAAAGGAGAACTTCCCCTATCTGGCAAAGGAAATAGACTTCCAGGAAATCCAGGAAGCTCAGAGAGTCCCAAAGAAGGTGGACCCAAGAAGGAACACACCAAGGCACATCATCATTACATTAGCCAAGATGAAAATGAAGGAGAGAATCCCACAAGCAGCAAGAGATAAGGGGACAGTCACCTACAAAGGAGTTCCCATCAGACTGTCAGCTGATTTCTCAAAAGAGACCTTACAGGCAAGAAGGGGCTGGAAAGAAGTATTCCAAGTCATGAAATCCAAAGACCTACAACCAAGATTGTTCTATCCAGCAAAGCTTTCATTTAGAATGGAAGGGCAGATAAAGTGCTTCTCAGATAAGGTCAAATTCAAGGAGTTCATCATCACTAAGCCCTTATTATATGAAATGTTAAAGGGACTTACCTAAGAAAAAGAAGATAAAAAATATGAGCGGTGAAAGGCCAGCAAACTCACAGTTATTAACAACCAACCACACCCAAAACAAAAGCAAACTAAGAGGACAGCTAGATCAGGAGCAGAACCATAGAAATGGAGATCACATGGAGCAACAGTGGAGTCAAAGGAGAAGAAGCGGGGGAAAGGTTCAGAGACTAAGTAGCATAGATGGTAGGTAGAAAATAGACAGGGGAGAGGGCAAGAATAGTATGAGAAATATAGAATCTAAAGAACTTGTGACACATGGACATAAACTAAAGAAGGGGGAGTGCTGGGGGAGGGGTGTGCAGGGTGAATGGGAATGAAGGGGGGAAATGGGACAACTGTAATGGCATAATCAATAAAATATATTAAAAAAAGAGCAGCTAAGGTGAAAAGATATTTTTTCTATAAAAAAGTGAGAAAACAGAAGAGAAATAAGCCTATAATCTGTATTTCTACCCTAAATCCTGGGAGATAAAAATATAAGACGAAGAACTGTGCCCCAATTTCAAAATATTCTAGTCTTAGACTTCTTCCTCACAATATATGCTAATTTTGAATTCTGACATTGTATATGTTATATACATATACATATATACAGGTATATATCAGCATATATATGTGCATACATACACATATATACCTATATGTGTGTGTGTATATATCAGAATACCTTCATTACAAAAATAATTATTGAAACTGCTTATCAGTTAAATTATGTAATTCCTCTTCTTCTCCATCTAAATTGTTGAGTTAAGTAAATGCTTCCAAGAGGCATGTCATGTGCCTCTCATGGCTTCTCCTAGCTCCTGGCTAATTGCTGCTATTGTGGAGATGATTACTTGGAGGCAGGACTCATGCACATAAAAAATAAACGACATAAAAATACATGAGAGAATACATAAGAGCCCAAATACATGGCAGAGAAAGCGAAGCTAGTGGAAGAGGAGAGAAAGCCACCAGAAGGCTGTACCATGGGAGTCCTTTACACTTACCTGCTCTTTGCCTTAGTGAAAATAAATCAGTTCCCCTGTGACCAAATTGCATTTAGAATTCAGACAAGACTGAGTTTGAATCTTAGGCTTGAAGAAGTTACACGGCTTTCCCAAGATTACACAGCCAGAAAGTGGAAAATCTAAGCTTGCTCTATAAAATGAATGTAATAGCTCTTCTCAAACTTGAGATGACGATCCAGTGAATATAGTATTTAAGCACCCAGAACATAACAAGCACAAAAATGTTTATCTATCCACCTCACCACACAAATAGTTATAATCTATCTGATGCCTAAAGTCATGAAATTTTCCATCCTGTATTGCTAAAGTTAGGCTTGAGGCCACTTTTCCTGGAACAAAAAAGTAACAGAATACTCAAGGATAAATTCATATGAGACAAAAGGTGAACAGTTTGTTCAAATTGTGGGTTTTCCAAATTCAAAAAAAGAAAAGGTTCTACTAACTATATGGGTTGTTATGATACCAAATATTTACTCTGAATACCCTTTCATATATCTATTGTTTTCCACATAACTGCACTTTTTGCCAAGTCCTAATTTTCAACTAATATATATCCAAACCTTAACTTGGACTCACCATTAACATGTATAATGAAAGAAACATTTTTTTCAAAGTCCTTGAAAACTTGTTCTCTTGCAAGTCCAAATGTACTAATTCAGGAAAATGCATTAAAATACCTTGCCGAGTGCCCCGCCCACTACATTCTTTTCCTCCAGTGTCAAATGTTGTCACGGTCTTGTTTCGTGTAAGACTAATGTCTCAGATTTACCACAATTCTCAGATTCTCGTGTTCTAAAAACAAAGCCAAGCAGGAATTCCAACAGTGACTCTAGTTCTCTTGCTGTTCATCTGTCTCTGCCTCTCTGTTCCTCTGTCTCTCGCTTCTCCCAGTTTGAACTGAATTGAACTCTGGACCATGTCCACTCTGAAACTTCTTTTTGGCTTCATTTTAGAACTCCTTACATGGCATTCTACAAAACGGCTATGGTGTAGATACAACACTCTAGGTCACTTTATTGCTTAAAACCTGACATAGAAAATGGTTTGTTTACATTCCCCAGAGTAAAGTGGCAAAGATGCATTAATGTGTTCTTTCTTCTCAAGGGTCTGACTCTTATAGCTATAAGGCCAATATTCAGCAAAAACACCCCAGTCCCTTTTTCATGAAGCTTTCTGTTCACGTGATTACATAAGAGTGTAATGCACATGATCAAAATCACCTGATTTATAGGAAAATTCTTTCCGACCACCTGCACCCAACACCAAGGGCCACAGCTCAGTTATACACATCGCAGAATTTATGGTAGCCAGGGAGCAGGGATCGAAAGATCTACATTTCCCTGAATAAATACCCAGAGATAGAAGTTCTACAATTTTAATGGACACGAGAAAAGCTGTAGAGAGAGGAAAGTGATTACAACAGAAGAGAATCCTTTACTTCTTAATTTATGTTAAAATCAATCTAGAAAGTGGATGTTTTTACTCTCTCTCATATCATTATATACAATTCTCAGAAAAATTAACCTAGTTTTCCTGAAGTTTTTTAGGTGGTATTTGGATGCATATTTCAATGCTTGAAGCTCTATATTCAAAAGACAGGATGTAATCATTTGCTTCTAAAAGGAATTATAGAATACTCCATCTGGTATTGAATATGGAATATGATGAAATCACTTTGAGACATTTACACATATAATGGCACAAAGATTGTTTAATAAATTCTATAAAGACTAATTTGAAACTACTTTTGACCAAATCTTCAAAGGAACTCAAGGGATGATACTCTGACTCCTACCTGAAGCACTTGGATAGGAAACTAAATTACCTTTATCGCATTGAACTCAACATTAATATTTACACTGCTGGACACAGAGCACTGTGGCTCCCTAAACAGAATCCAGCATGAGCAAAACGTAGGCTGCACGACCCTGTATAGTAACAAAAACAGAACAAAGCTTACCTTTATTCACTCTCCCCACAGAAGATCTGTGAGCTGGGTGCTCACGGCTGAGCACTGGGAAAAAACATTCTCTGGTTAATAATAAAGGAGAGAAAAGGTCCAGACACCGAGGACCAGGGTTAACCATTGACATTGTTTGTTCCTACAGTTCCACCCTGGGAATCTACATAGGTAGCCCTTGGCATCTTATAAAGTGGGTGATAGCCGGTCAGCTGAGACTGAGGTTACCTCCCCACCTCTGTACCTCTGGAGAAGGTACAGCGTGAAGGTCATTCAAGCAAACCCTGACTAAGTTTTCACTCAGTCAGGCATATAAAGGAGAAAGATTTTCTTGGGCCAGAAATATGCTCAACAATGCCAGTAAGTGACTCAGATATTTACAAACAGGGGTGCCAGTGCTAACCTATGGACTGCTTCCTGCTGGCTTTCAGACTTGGAGAAATGCAAAGACACCCTTCTTAACCAGAACTCTTTGTCTGCACCATAGCAGGTGAGAGTTGAGATTGCATGCCAATGAAAACTGAGACAACACAACCAGAAATAGCTAAGCAACCAACCCTGCCTTTATTCGACGTGCCTTTAATGATTATTCACCAAGTGCTGCCCAGTTCCAGAGAAGCCCTGAGAAATAGAAGATGGAGATCAGGCTGGAGGGTCCCCCCTTTCCCAAGCCCAGAATCCCAGCCTGAGATGGAGAGGATAAACACGAGACTGGCTGTGGGCCACACCAGAACGTGCAGTCTGTGTGCAGACGGCTCTTCCAACCCAGCCCCAGGTCCTCAGGGATGAAAAGGAGTGTGGCGGGGGCCATGCAGGTGAGGTGGCTGACCAGAAGTCAGAAAACTGAATGGGTAAGTGTAGAGCTGGCTTTAAAATGGGAGCACCGAGAGAGAGAGAGAGAGAGAGAGAGAGAGAGAGAGAGAGAGAGAGAGAGAGAGAGGGGGGGATCCTAAAAATGTGAAAGGCGGCCACGAGAAACTAAATAACAATTCTAAGCAATTCCAACCCCGGGGGAGCTGTAACCAGGAGCACTCAAAAGCCTTATTGTGCTGGGTGAGGAGTTAGTATTTTTTCTTTTCTCCAAGAGCACCAGTAACCAGGGCATCTGGGAGCCCCATCCAGTCTGGCTGACCCTCCAAACTGAAGGGGCCATTTCTAGGTGCTGACCATAGATGCTATTTGGGGATTGTTTGCTTTGTGTTTCCATTTTTTAAAATATGAACACTCAAGGAAGCAAGATTGGATTCCAATGTTGGTGTTGTTATTTATTAGTTTTGTGACTTTGGGAGCTGCTTAACCTGTGTGCACCTCAATTTCTTCACCTGTAAAATGGGGCTAATAATGACAACAACCACAACAACAATACAAACACCAACCTAAGGCAAATCCTTCCTGCTCCAAACCTGTTAGCTATCATTCAGGTGTTTACATTCTGATGGGACACACAAAATGCAACCTGTCCGTAACAGGGAGAAGAATTTGAACCCTCCAAGGGGCCAATCTTGTCAATCGCCCATAAATGTCAGTAAAGTACTGGACCCTGAAGTTAACTTTTCTGTAAAGAAATTTGAACACTAGAGAGCTGTCTACATTTTCACACTAATTACAGCAACTTTCATTATGGTTCATCCATAATAAACCTGACTTGATACTTTAGTATGATCAATTACTCTGTTTAATTACTGGCTTGCTGGAAAGCCGAGCTCCCTTTATCAGTGTTCCATCCAAAAGGACATTTAGTAGAGCGAGGGATGCACGTCACTCCCCCTGCTCTGCAAGGTCAGCTTCAGGGAAGGTGGCTGTGGTTGGGTGAGTGTTCGGGCTGATCTGAGGAGATGAGGCATCTGAACTGTACGGCATGAAAAAGACCACAGAGGAGGCAGCGCAGGAAGCGAGACGGGGAAACTGGATGTCTTCCCAGCTCCAACTGAGTCATGTCATCATAGTGTGGCTTCATTCCTTTGTTTGAAGTAAATTCCCAGAACATCTGACACACCCATACACACATGTAAGTGGAAAAACAGAGACCTTCAGAGTCTCAACAGAGTTCGTGTGGCCCCGAATGCCTGAGATATCTATTGTGTGGCCCTTTACAGAAAACCACTTGCCAATCCCTGAGCTTTGTAAATCAGACAATTCACTGTTCTTCAAGGACCATGTTCCTCCTTTCTGATTAATGATTAACTCAAGAGGAACTTCGAGTCAACAGAATTTCTATCACTAAAATCCTATCTTTCTATGTACCATCCAGCAATCATGCTCCTTGGTCTTCACCCAAAAGAGTCAAAAGTTTATGTCCACACAAATACCTGCACATGGATGTTTATAGCGGCTTTACTCACAATTCCCAAAACAAAAAGTCTTTCCTCAGCTGATGAATAAACTGTGGTATATCCAGAAAATGGAATATTATTCAGTGCTAAAGCAGGCATGAGCTATTGAGCCTTGAAAAAACATGGAGAAATTGGTACAGAGTGGGGCAAAAGTAGGTTTATAGTTGTTTGTAAGGAAAAATATAATAATTAATAAATAATAATAATACAAGAATATACTCTATGTTTCGCACTCACAACTGTGAACCTACTTTTGTCCCACCCTGTATTGCTGGATAACACTCTGGAAAAGGTGAACTTACAGAGACAATGAAAAGATCAGGGGGTGGTGAGGGTTGATAGAGGCAGATGAACAGGCAGAGCACAGGGGATTTTTAGAGCAGTGCAAAGGCTCTGTATGGTGTTAAAATGATGAATATGCAGCGACCAGAGGGGAGAGGGAAGGGAATTTAAGGGGAAAAACGAGGAGGGATTTTGAAGAACAAGTATGAAAGACACAGGGATGAGGTCTGTGGGGAGGGGGGGGATGGGAGGGAGGGGGGAGACGGGGCGGAGGGGAGGGGTGGGATGGGAGAAATTGACAAAAGAAAACTGTACTTGAAAAATAACTCAATAAATTTAAAAAAATTTTAAAAAATTTTAAAAAAATGATGAATACATGTGCCTGCAGATTTGTCCAAACCCAAGGGTGAAGCTTAAGAAACACTATGGGCTTTGGGTGATAACGAGGTGTCTGGGTAGGCTCATCCTTGCTAAAAAATGTATCATTCTGGTGAGTGATGTTGGCTTGGTGATGAAGGAGGCTGTCCATGTGTGGGAGCAGGGGTCCATGGGGCATCTCTATATCTTCCCTCAATTTCACTATAAATCTAAAACTGCTCTAAAAATAAACTCTCAAAAATCTAATGTTTTCTTCAATTTTCCTTTAACTAACTCCTTCCTTCCTTGCCTTCTCTAAACAATTCATAGTCATTTTAAAAATAATTTTTAAAGAAACAAACTTCTAAAGGCACTCTCCCTTTCAATCTACATAGTGCAGCTCCTTTTGGCAGGTGCCATTTCCTTCACAGAATTTTGAACACCGGTGGTGAGAACTGACTGAAGTGTATTCATCTTTGAATCCAAAGAGGTGTCTAGCAGAAAGCTGTAGTACAGAAGATACTAAGAAATAAATGCTTTTCTTCATGAAGCAAGTATACAAAACACTTATTATTTTTTACTCTCCTGACCGCTTCCTATATTCTTTGTCCACCCTCCGAAAGCCCACAACCCTCTTGCTGACCAGAGACTCCACACCCCATCAGAGTTTTTCCTCTCTTTATTACCCCAGCTCTCAAAATTCTCCAATTGGGTTTCATTTCCCCTTGAACAACTCTGTGCTTTACAGTGTTCCAAGCGCTTTAGAACCTATATGATGCAAAAGAAAAAAGAAAAAACAGAGTTAACTAGAATTTACTTCCTCAAGAAGCAATCCAGTCTAGCATTTCCATAAGCTAAAGCACAATATTTCAGCAAATTACCTAAATAAAAATGATCAAACTGGTGGTGCCATTTGAAAGAGCTTGACCCATTCATTGAATGAACCACGCTAACAGTAGAGAGCTACATTATCCTCCCCGGGGTTGGGGGTGGAATGGGAAGAATACCTTTAAAAATCTCTCCCAGATGATAAGGTTACATGCGTTTACTGCAGAAAATCTGAGTAAGAGTACAAAAAGAGTACAAAAAGTAATTACAAGACTCTATTTCCTTCGGCAAACTTTCCTCCAGTCTTTTCCTCTGTTGTATGAAGACAGAACTGAGATGCACTTATGTATGTCAATGTGAATCTCACTTCTTAACCTTTGTCAAGAAGCTCTCGTGTCAGTGCAAAAGATTGCCGTCGTGGTCATGGAACCGCCAACCTCCAAGACACTACGGCCACTGTGCTGGCTTCTGAGCCCCCCCCCCCGCCAGCTCACCCCCATTGACTGCTGTGACTCACAGATGTGGGTGTGACCCAAAATCGTGCCTTAAGAGAGCTCTATGAACTGTCAAGCACGCTGCAGGTGTGATGAGACACCTAAAGGTGTGCCTAAACATTCAGGAAATCCCAGTCCTCTGTAAGAAGTGCTTGTAAATTGAAAAGTCGCCGCCCTCCTGAAGGAAGTATCTGTTCTAGGGAATGGGAGAGGTACTGCAGGCGGCTGACCGGATTTCAGAAGCCGGACTGGGACTGACCGATTTCACTGTGCACAGTGCCCTCCGGGTCCATCCCCGCAGTCACAAATGCTAAGATGCCCTTTTTTATGGCCAAGGGATACATCAGTAGGGGAAAGACAAACACCACATGATTTCACTTATTTGTGGAGTCTAAAGAACAAAGTAGATGAACAAACAAAACAGGAACAGACTCATAGACACAGAGAACAGACTGACAGCTTTCAGAGGGGAGGGGACTTGGGGGCCTGGACAAAAGGATGAAGGGACTGAGAAGTACAGATTGGCAGTGACACAACAGTCATGGGGAGGTAAACTACAGCACAGGGAATATGTTCATAACTATGTACGGTGCCAGGTGGGTCCTGGAAATGTCTGGGGGGTCACTTTGGGAAGGATGCGACCGTCTAACCGGTCTGCTGTACACCCGAAACTAATATAAAATGATACTGAATGCAAACGGTAATTGAAATACTTTTAAAAATATATAAAAGATGCCCTCGTTTGAAAGACTATTTTACTTTTAATTCTACATTTACCTTAATAGGTCAAGCCCCAAGCCCCTAATTTACTTCACGACCATGTTGAAGACTTCATGAAAAAACGCTTGAAGGAGATTAATTTTCCTGCACA